AGGGTCGCCACAAGAAAACAAAACCCTCCCAATTTTTCCTCTGTCAGTTGTTTTGATGAAGACAAGGGGCCCTGCTGTCTTAGAACAGTCTCTTCCGCCAAAAACTATTCCCCCTCTAGAGAGGGGAAGCCCGAGGCCTCGATGTCGAAACCCGGTTAGAAATAATCAAAGAACCCGAAACACGAGATGTGTCGAGGGAGGGAATCGGGGACACGGCTCTCTCGATCGTCATAAACAACCTATGTTATTGTTACCTATGTTTAACACCAGAGACATGTTATTCTGTTAACAAAAGATCCTGCCAACAGGAAAGCCCATGGTTCCTCGTAATAGACTGGGCTCAAAATTGACAGCAAATAGTTTCCATAGCCATAGCCTCCTGAAGTCTCCAGGTGCCGGGAACTATGTTCTGTGGAGAGACCGTGAAGTACAAGTCTTCATCCCTTGCTGGTAAAAGCCAGGCTTTCACTGAGCAAAACCGCTTCTGGTTAATACCGGGACAGCAAGGGAAATCTCTTTTTACTGCAAGGTTTACCCACCAGCTGTTACCGCAGACGTGACAAGGCTGTGTGACAAAATAGTCAGGACCTCGGAATACTTGAAAAATGGGAAATCCACCGGCACCAGACCCGGAATTTGTCCATGTGAAGTCCAAGCTCCCAGATCTCCATCCTCAGGAAGCACAGACAGAAGTAAATCTGACTGGCTGGTGGACCAGTCGGTGGCCCGGCTGAGATGTTAAACCAAGGTCATGGCTGCATGATCTCGTGGCGCCAGTCATCAGGGCAGAGGTCATCAACCCGTTGTCCTGCTTAAATTTAGGCTCTGAAGCGCACAATCTGGCCTGACTCGGTCTCATTGGAGAAGTCATTTCCTGTTCTTACTGCTGCTCATCGGCTCTGGCTGCAGAACGGTTACCCTGTGTCACCCATGTGGGAGCCCCAGTGGTACACGAAGAGAGTCCGCCCCCCCCTACTATGCAGACGTATTCAGGAACCCTTGAGTTAAAAAGCAAATATACACCTATACAACCCCGTACAAAAATGAGCAGATTTTAATATCTCAGAAACACAGTATAATACTGTATACAGTATTTGCCTTGAAAAGCATCTGAAGAATAAGCTTCAAAAAAGGTTTCAAAGATGTGTCCAAAGTACGCCACAAACCCTAACCCCCCCCCAAGTTAAAAACCAAATCACATTCAGGTTATTTAATGTATTACTGTTTTTCATTCACTTGTGATGTGAGAGAATCCATTGTTTAACTGAAAATCCCGATTCTGGATTTTAGACTTTCATGTGAAGGGGAAAAAAAAGGAAGGAATTCTTAAATCAGATAAGCCTCTCTGTTCATCAAGCAGGTATTTATGAATTATTCAGATATGCATAGCTGCATGGAGACCTGGTGATTTTCACTGTGTCAGAATAAAACTGCTCTCGCCTTTATTTCACAGACATATTGGGTTGCCTTTTGGCAAAATCCAGGGACGCCACAAGCTCTGTGACAAATGCTTTTTTTGGGGAGGGACGTGCATCATCGTGTCAGTTTGATAACAGAATGCTTCATCGCGGAGCTGGGCAGTTTTCACAGCAAAAAGAGAAACTAATTTCACCTACAGCTCAGGACCGAGCCACATTTAAGAAAGTATGGACTTGATACAACACAGAGCACAAAAAGGAGAAGGCACAATGGGGCTCGTGCGCCAAGCAGGGCCTGACTTAGAAGCTCACGCAGAAGGACGATTTCTATGCCATAAGTATAAATGTTAATGGGGGGAATCACAGTCATGTTGTCTTTAGTATCTTGGCCTCCATTACTCATTTAGCACAGCTGGTATGAGAAATGGCCTGTAGGCTGGTTAGGGTTTGTACATCTCCTTTGCAGCACAGGGTCTGACACCCCGTTCCTGACGAATTAAACAATAAGAGCTAGTGCAGAAATCAGCAGAGTAAATCATGTTTTCCACCCTCATCCCCACTCATGACCTTAATAACTTAAGTTGCTTGTCTTAGCTCCTGCAATGCCTAGAGTTCGCGGCCTCTACAAGTTCTTGTAGCTAAGCGGCCATCACATGCTTCTTCTTTGCAATTTGCTCTGGTCCTGGAGGTACCAGGCTCTCCCTGGTTTGGGAAGGGGGAGCTTTAAAAATCGCCTTCAATACCAACCCTCTCTAACGGGCACTAAGAAGCACCCCACTGTGCACGAAACCAGTCGCCAAAGGAAAAAGAGACAATGGCTTCAGATTTCTGCTGTTTACTGAAGTAATTTGTCTACCTGCTGCAAAAAAAAAAGATACCAGGAAAAGCCAGATTGGCAAATTCCAAAAAAAAAAAGTTTTTCCCTTTCCTTGTGGCATGGAGTAGCACAATCCTGTCACTATGGAATGGATCAGGTTCTGATGAACCCTGTGAGGGTTTGATTGGATCCAAGTTCAGCAAAAAATTAAATGCAACCAAACAGGAGATACCGCTCTTTGAAGTCCCACAGAATTGTTTCTGGCTGTTATTAAATACACTACCACAGTACATTAAATACTACATGAAACTGAATCAGCAAATCCAGGAGACCGAATGCGATCCTGCATACCTTTTTCACTACTGATCCCCATTTTCAAGAGCCCTATAAACTTGAAGATTTCAGGAGCTTTTCAGAGACTCATGAAATGGGATTATGGCACAAGTCCCAGGCTCAAACACCCCAGCTCTTATGTCACATACTATAGGTATTGGGTAACTTTTCAGCAAAATGCAGGGAATCTACAAGCTCTGTGACAAATGCTTTTTTGGAGACGTGAATCATCGCTTTGCAGAAGCGATGCCAGAGGCCAGGGGATTTTGCTGATCATAAAATGAGCTGACGCATAGTGACTGATGGTTCCTCTGTCTCCTTCTGTAACTCGGCATTGAAGCTACTGTCTTTCTCGGTTTTGAAATAATCTGTCATTTATGTTCTAGAGTGGGGACACAGGGTGTGAGATCTTTTAAGGGTACCTTAACATGTTATTAATGATATTTAGGGGTTTGTGAAAGTTGGTCCACTTCCTTTTTAAGTGAATGTATTAATTGTCGAATTGCTCTCATGAGGAATGAATTAGAAACTTGCTTCGACCGCTAAGATGTGCGGAAAACTGAAAACGCCATCCCCCTATTTTCTTATCGCTTTATCTGGTCCAGGGTCATAGGGGAGCTGGAGCCTACCCTGGCATGCAACGGACACAAGGCAGGGTACACCCTGGATGGGATGCCAGTCGAAGTGGGATCTCAATCTCGTTTTTTTTTAATCAAAGCAAGCATTGACATTTCTCAGTCACGATCGTGACGTAGTAGCTCCACGGTGATCTGATGCAGGCAGGGTCGCAGGTATTGCTCTCAGCAGGAGCTTGGGCTTGAGCCAATAAAAATTTCAAAACCTTTATTGGCTCCATTTCCTCCACAGCTCCTGCCCCTCCAGGAGTGGGGACCACTGTGCCAACGCGGTCTCGGATCGTTCTCAATTCAGACTCGTGCTCCTGTAGGCATGATCTCACGCAATGAGCTGGAGATACCCTGTGACTCAATCACGGTTACAAAACTGCCCTTCATCATCAAAACCTTTTTTTTAAACCAGTTTTTAGTTATTTTGAATGTCACATTTTTATTTAATAATGAAAATGATTATACCATTCATTATGATTTATACAGAAGAGTGCGGGGAATAATTCAGCACAAACTCGGGTTGGCTTTTAATTACAGGAGCTGTTCCTGGAGCTCAGGCTCTGGGAGTTGCTAATATCCGAGAGACTTGCCGATGTCTGAGGTGCATGTGCGGAATGCCATACTAAGAGCCCCATTTCTCTTGCCTTCTAGGTGCCGTACGGCTCGATTTCCCAGGCTTCAGGCTCACTTGAGCGGCACCAGCGAGACTCCTCTGCCCCCTGGCAGCGCCCTCTGCAGAGCCAGCCCACACACGGCGTGCCACCTGGCTATCTGACTGCCCATGAACCCCCAGGGGTACCCCTGACCGCTTGGACAGCAGCCACAACAGCACCTGGGCGCTCAATCACCTCCAGAGCTCCCAGGAAGAAGACGCCTCAATTACAGGACCAGGCGTTTCTGCCTGCAGGAGTCGATTTAAGTTACTCGATCGTTCATTTTTTACTGCCTACTTAAAGGCGGGAGACTGAAGGACTTGAGAGGCCTCTCCCCACCCTCACCCACCGGTAACTCGTTCCCTGAAGAGACCCAGTCCTGCCAGTCTGGGGGTTCGGCTCATTCTTCCCACAGCACGGATCCACCGATTAAGAAGGACACCTTATGAAGTGTGGGATGAGCGGAGCAAACTCGCATTAAAAAGTTCCTGAGGCACTCAATCGAGAGAGGCTGCTGCTTCTGAATGGTGAGCTTTAAAGAAGCACTCTTTCTCTGTCTGAAGCATTCCAGCTTTGATGCACCTATAACGGTACAATGCAGACTATAGTGGATCACCACTGAGGAGTGGACTTCAGCCTCTCTCTCGGATTGCTTCCATCATCTGACCGGCCTGAAGCTCACCTGCTGGTTTCCTAGGGAGTCAGAAGCTCAGCTCTTGGTTCTGCTGAGTGATGTCAGAGAGGAAGACACTCTCGGCCTGGCCACACCAGCAGAGGACACATGGGTCTAAATCCAAATGCTTTAAGAGACACTGGGGCCATTCTCAGACTTGTGGCTCTCTCAAGATCACTACGGCAGGTCTTTCCTTTGACATTTCCACTGTTACAAAAGAGAAGCCTTTTTTTTTTTAACGCTTCCACTTTGGAAGAATGCGGGATGCATTCTGCAATTTGATTTCAGAAGCCGTACCTGAAAATGTGTGTGCCCACCACAAGTGCACTGCTGTGACAATCAAACTCAATCAAAACAAAAATCAGAGCCTTGAAACGTGGATTGATTGAGGGAGGGAGTGGTAGATGAGGAGGTAACCTAAACCAGAAGCCTTTCAATGATGCAGACCATTTTTAAGGCAAATGCTGCCTCCTCGTCACTGATCCCAACAGGTCAGGCCTTGAAACATTTTCATTTTATGCCCATTACTTAAGAGTTATGCAAGCGTGAGTACAATCAGCCTATCTGTGAAGGCACCAATCATAAAACAGAGTTTTATAGCCTAGTACTTGGCTATGCCAAGCTGGCTTCTTGATTTCGCCTCCCCAACTCAAAATCAAATACAGATCAAGCCAGGAAGCGATCTTTCCTTTTGTTTAGGAAAAGTTCAGTAAAGCCCGGCATGGCAAGAGACGCTTCCCCTGGGATGCGGAGAACTGTGCAATAAGATTCGGACTGGGAAGGCAGTTCGGGAGCTTCTTCTATACACACCTGTTAAATCAAGAGTTTAGGAAGTCAATGGCCGAAGCTGACGAGACAGTGAATGGGCACTGAATGCAATGGACAAACCCTTAGGCATTTGCAGTGCAGAAGGTTCTCGGTTTGTTATATATAAGCCTACGTGGGACATGGCAGTCAGTCAAACAGGCAGAGAATACCTTCATGTATTTGAAGGTGGTGTGTTGGACACACCACAGGAAACCCATGTAAAGGAAAGTCAGACGCACTCCAGAATACAAGCACATTAACTACAATGTGTTGACCCTCATAGACTCAAGAAGAGGCTTTTTAAGTGATCAACTACATGTATTGAAAAGAGTAACTACTATAATACAAGCAATATTTAAAAATGTTTACACAGGTACACATCTTAAAGCATTACCTGTGGCTAAAGTAATTACATAATGCAGTTACAATATCAGTCATGAATTATATGTAAATATGTGTAATTCAAAGTGTCAGTTCCACACCCTTCCAAGATAATTACACTGTAATTAATGTGCCTGTATTTTCCTATATATATATATCAGGAAAGGAAATACAAAGTAGGAAAAGCAATAAAAAGTGAAAAATCACTGATTGATAACTTGATAAAGAAGGTTGAACTCAGATCAAAGAGATTGATGAGGAGAAGTATTTGCATCTACCTGCATGCTGATACTACCTTAGAACTGTGTGCGTTTGGACAGGTCTGGGTACATCTCCAGCATGTCATCACTGCCCTAGTTCTGTGTGCATTTGGACAGGTCTGGGTACATCTCCAGCATGCCATCAGTGCCCTGTCTTCTGTTACATGTGCTTGGCAAATATGGTTCTTAAGCACCATCAATGCCACTCTCCCTCACCATCAGTGGGCTTAAAACTCCCTGGTGCAGCGTAGATCAGGACTGTTCTTTCACAGAGCAAGCACTGAAGAATTGTCTATAGACAGCAAGAAATCCCAACAGCCATCCTGCATCTACAAACCCCTCTGCCTTCTCACTCTAAGAATTCTCTAATTTGTTCTCTTCCAGGAGTTACTAGTCTCTTACAGCCTGGGAAACATTCATTTGCGATTTCTGGGGGGTTTGGCAATTGAACCCTGAAACGTTACTGGAACGCACTGCTTTGTCGTTCTAGTCGAGGGTATTGTTAATCTTTTTTGCACTTCAACATGATGAAAATGTGACTGAATGTGAAAACCCCTCTGCAGAAGCAATGAAGACTGCACTGTTTGAGCAGCTAAATGCGTTGTTCCGCTGTGGTGAGCAATGCAGGAATGAAAGAGTTAGCTGTTGTCTTTATTCTCTATGCAATGACTTGGGGATATGCAAACCGCTGAAACGAAGCCTTGCTTTCAGTTATCGAATTTGGATTTTTACTTCAATGTATTTTTTCCCCATGCTTACAATGCAAATGGAGATGAAGGGTTTGGGAGAACAATCTCACCCCCATAAAAAAATAATTCAGAATTTTGCTACCAAAAGTTGGACTTGTGGGTTGTCCTCTGTTGGAAGTTTGTCACAGCCTTGCAAAAAAATTAATACAGGTTTCAGTGGATTGCATTCCTCGTTAGTCTTTCGCCAAGGACCGCAAGGTAGCCAAGACTATGCAAGAAGATTGGCTCTGGAGCAGCTGATGTACTGTATTTGATGAAGGATTTGGGGTCCGCCGAACGTCTTTTCGCAGTTTTTGTACTTTACGGCTAATGTTGCACATCATCGCGTTGCCCTTGGATGAACTGATGCACTTGATAATAAAAAGGTTATGACGATGAAAACCCCAGGAGCACGTTGTATTCTCTTTTCTCTTTCTCGTTGGCGTTTTGCCGTTTCCATCTATGTCTTACACACACACACACACACACACACACACACACACACACACACACACACACACACACACACACACACA